GCACTGGCCTGGGCCCAGAAACTTCCGGAAGGCCCCAGGATGCTGCCTTTGCTTTGCAGCTACTGGGCCCCGTTCGGTTGGGCCTCCCAACTGTCAGTGTATGAGGCTGCGATTCACGCCCAGGGCCTGCATTCTTTGGAAAGGCCCGGTAGGCCGTGGAAATGTCTTTGTTGCTCGGCCTGTGTTTCTTTCAACCAACTGGCGCGTCGCAACTGCCTGTACCCCAAATATGAAATTGACAGTCAAAGGCCTCTTGTGATAAGTTAGGCCCGCCTTCACTTAGGGCGGGCACCACTGCAACCGGGGCCCCTTAGGCCTGCCGAGGACACAGATCCTCGCAAATAAATAAAGGGATAAATGAGTATTGAAGTAAATCGAGGGCGGAGTGATCCTATCTACGATTGATTGGGTGGTAGCGTGGTAGGGATGGTTAAATAAAAGGGGGTTTCATGGGTAGATTGATGATGATGATGGTGATGATGGGGATGGGGGGGGGGGATGTGGGGGGGATGGGGGTAAAGGGGTTTGGGGTAGCCCCGAGCAGGATTCAATCTCATCAGCATTTATTAAACCACCTTGTTAATGAAAAAAAGAAAAAAGAAAAAAAAAAGGAAAAAAAAAAAGCAATGATTAAACTACCAGCACCCTTCACACGCAAATTTCTCTGAGACACCTGCTGGCCTGCCGCGTGGCAGCAAAAATTCATGCAGGCAAAACCGCTGCGTGCACGGCCCCATTTTGCCTGGATGAATACCGCGCCACTTGGCAGGCCGGTACATTGCGAAGGATGCAATGCGTGCTGTGCCCGCTTAATAGGAGAAAGAAAGCTGGCTGCGAAAAACGTTATGGTGGTTTGACAGTGTCATGATGTGTGTACTACACTGTGTACCACTCGTCCACATGGGCTGGGTGGTAGTCGTTCGGGAATATTTGCTAGCCGTTCTGATGCGCGCACATGAGCAACAAGTGGACATCCCCACCTGCATTTGCCACATGCCAACATCTTTTTCAAAATATTAGGGGTCATGGGATGAGGTGTAATTCCACAGCAGCCCCTAAACAAAAGGGAAAAACAAATTGAAACCCCATCGCTGCCTGTCAATACCAAGCCAATTCCCTACCTGCCATTGGGAACCACCCTTAAGGGCCACCACGCCTGCATTTCCTGGGGGTTGTGCCGTGGGGTGTAAATTTCACCCCAGCCCGGCGCCCTCAAGCGGTCGTACAAATGTATAGTGGCATGCCAGCATTGCCAAGGTAATGCCTTTCTCGGCCCAACAATCAGCAACTACCATCTTGTCTTCACCCGAACAAAACGCCCAGTCATTAATGCTGTATTTTGCACCACTTTTGGTCCAGGTGCAGGTGTAATTACCAGGCGTTCTATTCGGGTGAAGACCGTAGTAACAGTGCGCCACATTAGTAAAAAGGTTGTCACCTCGTTAAGTAGGTTTTCCCACACGGGAAGTTCAAAAAAAAAAAAAAAAAAAAAAAAAAGAAGTAAAAAGGCTGTCACTGCTTGTCAGCCCTCCAATTCAGCAGAAAAGGTTATCAGCCCTATGGCTTA